TTTAAACTAAAGAATAGATTTAGGCTAGACATTAGAAAGAAGTTTTTTACCACGAGGGTGGTGAAGCACTGGAACAGGTTGCCCAGAGAGGCAGTGGAGGCCCCATCCCTGGCAACATTCAAGGTCAGGTTGGGTGGGGCTCTGAGCAACCTGATGTGGTTAAAGCTGTCCCTGCTCACTGCAGGGGGGTTGGGCTAGATGACCTCTAAAGGTCCCTTCCAACCCAAAGCATTCTATGATTCTATGATTCTATGATTCCATAAGATGGGAAAAGGAAGGATGTGAAAATCAGTTTGAAAAGAAGTGTGAGAAACATCATCTTCTATGGAAGAAAGTTGGATGATCCCATATAAGGCTTGGGCTGTGCAACACAAATTGCAATTCGTCCACTTCCAAAACATACTTTCTTGGAAGAAAAGCCCAGATGGTTTCCCTTGTATTGTTTTTTCCACGTAGCAATTTAGATTGTTTTACCCTTCTTTCTATGAAATTGAATGGTCAAGTGTCTTCCAAGAAGCTTGATTTTTGTATAACTGCTATAGCATTTTCCCATTTTTAGGAACCATGTTGAATGATTACTTTTGTCTTGTTACTCTATATTGGAGAATATGATAGTACAGCAAGAATTAGCTTTATTTATCATAGAATCATAGAATGCTTTTGGGTTGGAAGGGACCTTGAGAGATCATCGAGCCCAACCCCCCTGCAGTGAGCAGGGATTGAACCTGTGAACTTGGCGTTATTAGCACCATGCTCTAACCAACTGAGCTAACCCGGCTGGTGTTTAAGCAAGACCAAATTCCCCTCTTTTTTGTTTTCTTTTTTTGATATTTATTTCTACCAAATACTGTGCAAAAATCTATTTTGCCTTGCTGCTGAGAGAAAAAGTTTTGTTTTACAGGGTGTATGTAACCATGTGCACTAATGTTGACAGCTATTGTTTACTTGTTGTAGTGGTACAAATATGGATGTGAAAATGAATGTATGCATATAAATGTGTATAAATCATACATATGCACTAAGTATCTAATGCTGTACAAATCTTCTCTAGGGATTGTTATGACTTATTCCACAATTAAAGCTATGGAGGAGATTAAATTCTTTTTTTAGTTTATATTAATTACATTGAAATAGATTAATATATTGGATAAAGTGGTCCTTGAGTTCTGCTTTTCTGTATACTTCTTGAGCTTAAGCCTTTACTAAGGATAAAACCTTGTAATGTAAGAAATGAGTCAGTATTTATCTTCTAGCTGGCTATACAAACATTCACCAATGTGTGTAGATTTGTTTAACTGTTTGTTACTTGAATCATCATCTGAGTAGTCAAACCAAAACAGGTGTCAGTATAACCCTGTGCTCAGACCCACAAAATATATGTGACTCTGAACTTACTGGTATCTAACCAGCCGTATAGGTAGGCCAGATCTATAGCACATCTTTATAAATCTTCGTGGATGCATTGACAGCTTCTGCCATAGATTACTACAGAAACAAAAAATGGTTTGTGCTTCAGCTTTTAGCAGTGCTGGCATTTTGTGGTCAAAATGTCTTCTCAGTGAGCAGTTTCTTCCTTTCTCAATCTGCTACATATTTCATTTATAAAATACACTGCAAAAAGTAATGGTTCTTGCAAATCTGGAAACAAAGTTTGTTCTGTGCTAGGCAATCCTTTGCATTGTTAAATGGTTTATAGAGAGATGATTTAGGATCCAAATAACTGCTAATACGTGGCTACTTGAGTTCCTGAAGTAACAACACTGGAGGTGTTCCAGAATAAGGTGTGGGCAAAGCATGTATAAAAACCAGTATTTAGATACCAAGAAGAGTGTGTGTGGGTATAAATATGTAAGCTTATATAAAATGTCTATTTATTTATAAATATATAACTAAAAGCTACTTTCCTAAGTGTCTTTTTTGTTACTGCTGAAGGTGGAGGGATTGAGAGGATGATACTGTCTCAACACTAACACCTCAGAGAAAAAGTACCCAAACACCACCATGAAAGCCAGAACTGCCAAGGAAGGTGGAAATAGCTGAGATAACCAATTGCAGGTCTAGCTTTAAAATGCTTAGACTGATATGCTAACATTGCAGGGGTTTTATATACTTGAACATGTGTGGGGGGGGGTTGAATTGGGGTTTGGTTTTTTTTTTTCATTAATGGGTACCTGAAAGACTATTCTCTGGCACAAACAGTGCCTGCCTGATACTTTCTGCCCATTGTAGTAATTTCTCTACTAATTATTTCTCATTCTGTACTCAGAATATATATTCAACTTCTTAGGAGACTATGTATTTATAGGTATATTTTTCTGGGTTTAGAGATGGGTGGAGACTGTGCTGCTGAATTTTATCTTATATGGCTAGAGGCTTATGTGAAAAGCTTGAGGAAGTGCTGATGTCTGAAATTGTTAAAGAAACGATGAGTGCTTAGATAAGTACGCAGGTTGGGAAAGGACAAAGTTAAATCTAAAAGCTGACTGTTAATCAGTTTAGCTCAGTCCAAGGCTTTTTGAATTTAAATGACTTGGGAATCTTTTAGTGAGGGTTAACTCCCTAGCAAACTCTCTTGAGAGGTTGATATCTGATTGGCCTATGGATTTCTCTCTAAAAAGTTTTAATTGTATGAATTTCATATTCAAGATAAGAAGTCACTTCTCAAACTTGTGGAAAGTGATCAAAGCTGATAAAAATACTGCCCCAAAAATGAAGTTAAAGAGATTAGCAAGAATCCAAAGACTTTTTTAAAATAATGGAACATTTATAGTAAATGGGCTGTGTTGATTTTTACATTGTCCAGAAAAATGTTGGTTTGTCCATCTTCTTTTTTTTCCTCCTATTATGTCACACACACATATATATGGTGTATGTATAAAGATGTTTGTTTTTTCCCTGTTTTTGATTACCACTTTCTGAAAGTGTGGGAGTAATAAAGATATTTACAACATTAGCTCAGTTGGTTAGAGCACGGTGCTAATAACGCCAAGTTCACAGGTTCAATCCCTGCTTACTGCAGGGGGGGTTGGGCTCAATGATCTCTCAAGGTCCCTTCCAACCCAAAGCATTCTATGATTCTATGATTCTATGATTTGCAAGAAAAGTCTTCTAGTGATTGAGTTGGTTATTTAATCATTTATTTCATAACCGTAATAAAGTACAGTCACCAGTAGCAGTGATAACAGTTGTGCTGCATTCAGTACCTGATTTTAAATTTATATTTATTTGTATGTGGCTTTGGGGAATGAGGAATGGCATAAAGATTTATTTATGATTGCTTTTCTGAATAACGACTTAGTTATTCAAAAGATATTGGGGAAATCTTACAGGGAGAGGTTTTATCCTTTATTGGAGGATTTGATACAGTACAAAAGTAGGCAATCTCTTAAGCTTCAATTCTAGATCATAAGTAGGGCCCTTTTTGTCAGGAAATATTTTGAAGAATAAAGTATCAATACCTTGGATATAGTCTGGGCATATGATTTCTTTTCTTCCTAATTGCTCCTTAAGTCTTCTACTGAAGCTGTTCTTTCTTTTCCAGGCTGCTTAAGGCTAGTACCTGCATGCCAGGACAGCTGCTACAGTCAGCAAGTTTCCCTAAGGCCAAATTACTCTTTATACAGGAAGAGGGAGGTGAAAAAACCTGTTGACTGCTGCTGATCTTAAACCTTCTTTAAAGACATGTGATTTCAGGCTGTCTGAAACACCTTCAGAATGGTAGCTTCCCTGTCTGCTTTGGATTTTGTAAATCATGAATTTGGATATGGCCCTGAAAGAAAAAAGAGCTCAGATGGAATCTGGAGAGTGCAAGAGCTGAGATGGAAAATACTGAGGAAAAACTGTCGTGGGTACTTGAGATACCAAATGTCCCTAGTGTGGAGGCCAGAACTTGCCTATGGGGTTATGCCTCTGCTACTGTGTGTGGCCAAGAGAAGACTGCTTCCTTGATAGAGTTGAAAAGCTAGTAATTACCTGTTCCCTGTTTTCCCTCGTGACAGTTCTTTGAAGGGCCTGATCTGCAAGATGTATTTTGATCACCTCCATAGCTTTCCGACTGTAGCTATTTAAACAGTTAAGACACTTCGTCCCCCCCCCTGCCCCCACATGCTCAGAAGTGATTCTACCTTTGCAAATTATCTCATTGGTTATGGTACTTGTTCAGTTGGATTCTCAGTTGAAGAGGGCTTGAACCCACAGTTCAAATAGAATGCTCTAGCCAGTCATTTTTCCTTTTTCCCGTTGAAATTGTGCTTCTGTGCTAAAAAGAGCTTAAGGCTCAGAAGATAAGGGAGTAGAAGCTCTATGCTGTAGTTAATTTGCTGTAGCGTGGGAATAGGAAAGCTCTGGGTTCCAGCTCTGGTCTTAGACCACTTTTTCTGCCCCTTGTATCTGAACGCTGTGTAAAAGAGTGTGTGTGTAGATAAGTGGTTCATCTCTTAACTGCTCATCTTAGTGTTAACTACTAGATTTATATGTCTTAAGACTGTATTACTTGTGCTGGGTTAGGACTTTGATTTCTCTATTCTCTTTATACAGGCCAAGATAAAAGGATGGAGAGGTTATGCTGTTTACCCTTATTGAAATTTTCATATATGAGCAATTTAAAAATATTACTGTACAAATGATAGGGAGCCTTTCAGAATTTTATCCAAGATTAATGTGAATTCAGGTGGGGATTTTTTTAATGCCCTTTTTCTTTTCTGTAGGTTTGAAGTCTTTAAAAAAAAAAAAAACAGTTTGAACTGAAGAACCTTGAAGAAGTACCTTGAAAAAAACTGCTATTCTCCATTGGCTGGCTGACACCAAATTTGGAGAGCTTTGTTGCTAGTGAATATGCACATGTCCTGACCACATTTCTACTTGACTGTGTGGGGCAATATTCGGAATGAAGCTGCCGTCATGTCATCCACAGGCAATGGCACTGATATTGAAGAATTCTTGGTCAACATTAACTTGGGGCAGTATCTTCCTAACTTTAAAGAATATGGCTATAACATTGTGACAGATTGTGTGGGAATAAATAACAGTGTGCTTCAGCAAATGGGAGTGTTGCCTACAGGGCACCGCAGAAGGATTCTTAAGCAATTAGACACCACTCTTTCAAAAATGCAAGGAAATTCTCTTTTCCATGAAAATCTAAAACTCAAAGACTTGAAAGGTTTAGAAGAGAAGCAATATTCATCCTCGGATCAGGAGTCTCCAATAAGCAATTCAAGTGTAGATGCGACTAGCTTGATACCTGCAACGTCGTCAGAACAACTTCTTTATAAAGCTTACATTGATAAAGAAAGGTTTGAACTTGCAGAGCAAAACTTATCAGAGGCAAATGATGATAGCTTTACAAATTTGGATTGTTCTAGTTTATACCAGAATTCAGAGAGCATACTAAAAGCTGTCAATCTAAGTGGAAGTATTAAGATGAATACTCAGCCAGATGCATCACTGGAAGAAGCTGCTGCATACCAAGCTGATGAGCACTTGGCTGGCTGTTTGGCATTTCATGATCCTCCTTCTTCATTTGCTCATTCATGTGAGACAAAATACAGTGAAAACAAACACCTGATGTTTGCAGATGAGGATGATTTTTCTGATTGTGAGCCAAATTCTCCATTCTTTAAGTTTAAAGGAGAAATGATAGAAAATGACTTATATGATTCTTATACGCAAAACTGCGTGAAAGTATTTCCAAGAGCAAGCCAGTCTTTTATGTTAAGGCATCGACCTGTACCAGAAATTCCAGAATCAAGTAAAGGTCAAGCTTCATCAAGGTAACTGCTGTTTCTTTCTAATGAAGAATCTCTATTATTGTAGAAATTAAGGTTTGGGGTTTCTCGCAGGCTTTTTATGTCATTTTTTTTTATAGATTTTTTTAATATGTGCTGTAAATACACTGGTTCTGGTATGAATATTGCCAGATTAACTGAAGGAAGATTAAGCTTCAGTGCAAGTTAAAAGCGCACGTGAAAGTGTAAAAGGAAATTTTAGAACAGTGTTTCCTTATAACCTCCCCAATCACCTCTGCATCTATGTATTTTCGAAGAAAGGAATCTTTATTGCTTTAGATGTAACCCTTGCTAAAAACAACTATATCAAGCATTTTTTACACTTAATTTGTATGCTGTTGAGATAGGAAAGAATGGAAATACACAAGTGTTACAAACCCAAGACTGAAAAAATAACAGAAAAAGCTGTTGAATCTATTCCAAACCAAAACATTGCTAATAATATTAATTAGACCTTAGCTCCAGTGTTTCTCATGAAATTCTGATGCGTCACTGGAAAATGGTGACAAAATGGTGATTTCAAGAGGGCTAAAAATTCAACCTTAAGTATAAAAATCTGGTTTTATGATGAGACAACAGTTATTGTGAAATGCAAGTATTCAGGTTGTAGCTTTGTAATTTCTAAGGCTGTACCTTTCAAGAGATACTGTTCTTAGAAAATACAAGTTTATTATTTTTATATATGTAACTTGAAAGATATAGGAAGTTTTCCACACCTACACATATTAATGTAGTTTTATCTAAAAAGTGGGGCAAAATTTAGAAAAACCTTCTTGTCTGTTTTGTGCATTGTATGGTGTAGCCACCCTGTAAACAAAGCAGGATGTATCTGATATGATTGCATGCATGGGCATAACAAGACGATTGCATGACAATCTTAAGTCTTAGCCTTAAAGCATGTAAAATTTATATGTAAATATAAACATGCAAATTTTTTTGTTTTAAATTAGAACAGGGTATTTTGTGGAGGAGGAAATTACGTTATACTGTGGGTCTAAAGCAAGGACTTTCTTCAAGATAGCTCTTAGATTAATTTCTAAACTGGTTAATTTAAATTCAGAATGAATGCAACCTGTTTGTAGTATTAGGTGTTGGCTTTTGCTGGTGTTCTCATAATAACAAAACCTTAGCTTTTAATGATGCTTGTAGTATAGAAATACTTTTGAGGCATTCCAGCAGGAAAATAAAAGTGGAAAATGGGAAAGAAAAAAAAAAAAGAATAGATGTTGGAGGTCTTCAGAGTTTATGGAATCTTTGTAAGGATAGTTCTGTGCAGCACTGGTGAGGATAGTATTGGATAGAGTCCAGTAAAGTTTGTTATGATAAATTGCATAGGAGAGTTTGAATTTGTTTCAAAATATTCATGTGATGTGGGTGTGAATTTTTCTTGCTGCAAAATGGTTGAGTTCATAATTTGAATCCACAAATTAGTGAGCAGCACTTGAATAAGCATCAGTTGTTGTAGCTTGTCTTGCAAAAATATGATGGAATGTAGAGGAAAAGGTCTGATGTTAGAACTCCAGGCCTATCTTAATAAAAGTAATATTGTTTGAATGTTAAAAATAATAGGCACTGAATGGGCAGTTGATCACAGTATTACAGCCTGTGTAAATGAAGAATATCTCCTCACAGGTTAATTTGTGATATTTCTGGTTCTGTTAACTATAAGCTTTTACTCGTCATGCTGGTTAAGTGTCTTAAACAGAGAAGAAAAATTCATGCAAAGGCATATGCAAAGTTTTGCCAATGTAGCCATATCCAAATCATTAGGTTGCACTGGTTTTAGTCAATTTTTTTTTTTTTTTAAACCACTAGCTATGCCTGGAAGGGACATGTCTGAGAAGTTTTTGTATTTATCTTGTCTTTTTCATCTGCATATCTCAGCAGTTAGAAACATCATTAGCGAGTTTATACATGCCCTAAATGTGGAGTTTTCCTAGCTTTTACAAGTTTCTTTTAGATTATGGAAAGAAGTCAGTATTAAATGTTGTAATGCAATTGTTTGATTGAACAGATGGAGAAGCAAAGATTCTTTGCAACAACTAAGAAATTTTTTTGTGCCTTAAAAAATGTTCCATCAGTGCCTTCTAAATCACCAAAAAATTGTGTTTATTGAAACATAAGTATAAACATCTTTTAGCGAGTAGCAGCTTCATGTTAACTTTTGTAGAGTGATTATCCCTACTTCGTATAATAAAGCTATTCCTGCTGAGCTGAAATGGGAATCTCATCCTAAAAGACAGCAGTAACCAGCTACTAAAAGAGTACTCTTAATGTCTTTTTGAGAAACAATGACCCAGTAGAGAGAATATAGAATCATAGTATTGTTTAGGTTGGAAAAGACCTTTAAGATCATCCAGTAATCTTCCCACCATTGAAGTAAATCCTCCAAATCCCAGTTTATTAGTGATTGATATGTGACTGGGTCACTAACTTCATTACCCACCATTTTGATCTATGAGCTGCAGCTTATTTTCTTCATCTTTATGCTCCAGTTATAACGATATGGAAATCCTGAAGGACAAGTAGCAGTCTGTCTGAGGAAGATCAAGGCTAAACCAGAACTTAAATTTCACAGAAACATTCTTGACAACCTTGCCGGGTATTTTTTTAGAGGCAAAGAATTAATACAGAATTTTAAAATGGCAGCTTGAAGCGTCTTTAACCTCAGGAAAGATCGTGTCTGTCTTACAGAATTGCACAGACAAACATTTTCCACTGGCTTTTATTGATAGGCGCTGGTTTCATCCTTATTACATTGTGTGAAGGCTTTTCTGCCGAGGCAGAGAAATCCCACTGAAATCTTCTAGGAGACTCAACATTTCCTTCTAGTTGTGCATGGATATTAGTCATTACATTTTTATGCAAGGAAATGCTTTTCTTATGATCTCCTATGTGCCTTCTGGCACAAAAAGTTCATGTGGTGGGTCTCCTTGTGCCCCTTAGTAGTGCCGTGACCATGTCACTTTTTATTACTAATAATGTGCTTGCCTCTCCTGCAATTATATCTGCGTCCCTGTGCCTCACTTGTGCTCCTGGCTCTTGTGTGTAACACAACACACTGTCAGCTGGTAAGACACTGTAGCGTTTAAAAGTTGGAAATATCTTGGTTTTCTTTCTTCTTTGAAGTATATGTGTCATTACTGTAGTACAGAGGGGTGCAGAATTAAAAAAAAAAAAGTGACAATTACACAGTGTTCTTGATAGTGGGGTTATTGTGCAGATTCTAGTAGTGTTTTTGGTTTGTCAGTATTGAAGTGATGTGTAATTATGCCAGATTCTTGTCAGCTACGCTTTTGCTTCTTATCATAACATTGAGCAATGTGTTGATACAGAATTAGTAAAGATCACTCTAAAGGTGTTTAAAAGCACTGGAATTGTTAAGGGGATTGCAAATCATCTTCTAAAATTGAAATAATCTGTATCCAAATCATCTTTTTTAGACAAAGTCATCAGCCTTTCTGAGACCCTGCATTCAATGTTTGTGAGCAGTCTTAAATTTTTAATATGGTTCCCCAGTCATGTTGTGGAACAGAACAAAGGCTTAAACACAGTGGACTGGAATTTTCATGGTCTCTCTTGCTACTTTTGGTCTAAGTGACTTCTTCCATACAAACATAAGTGAAAAATTGAGGCTTTTGTAAGACAAAATAGTGAAAGTAATGCAGTGGATGGAGCTAACCACTGACGTGCCTTTAGTGCAAGATTAAAGATAATAAGTACAGAGATAGTTTTAGAGGCTTTAGATGCTTTGGATCATGTCATTTAGCTGTCACTCTTAGATGAAGTAGCTACTGTTGCATCATCTGTTCAAAGAAAATGCTTAAGCAGATTTATAGCATGGTAGGGCCTGTTTGTTATACAGAATGCAACCCAGATAAAATTTCAGGCGGATGAACTCTTTATACTTCTAGACGTTTTCATATCCCCCAACTTTGTTACTTGTATTGTTCAGTAGTGGGATTGCTCTGATTCTTTATTAAGAGAAATAAGAAGAAATAGACCAAAAGTAATTCTGGAAAATATGCTCCGTTTGGGGGAAAATATAAATAAATAAAACAGATAATGATGCTTGGCCTGAGCAGGCACTATTCATTTTCTGCAACTGGTAGATCTTATGGTTGAAACTTCTTGCTTGGTGCTGATATTCTTTACATGCCATTTCTTAACATATAAGTGGTCAAGATTGCTAATGGGGTACCTGAGCTGGTGCTGCTGTGTCTCTCTACTCTGTGTTCTGTCACACAAAGCAAATTTTTTTAGGAGAGAGAAGCTGCTCCCTCTCTTTTTCTGTGGTCAAGCATCACCATTAATTTACCTCTGCAAGCAGTCTATGAACCCCAAAGCCCTAACACAGCATGCCAGAGCGCTTTTGACATGTTTGCATTATGGGAGGGTTAAGTCTTGAGATAGATAGAAAAGAAAACATGTTTTGAATGAGTTTGAAAACAAAAGCTTCATTCATTTAAAAGACTCTGCAGATGAATGCCAGTAAAGACTTCGAAGCACTGACTGCTTGCACTGACCTCTCTCCCTGACATTATTTGCGAGGTGACAGGAGTATACGGAATAAAACGGCTCAGCTCAGCCCAGTGCTAAGTTCCCAGCTTTCCAGTTTCTTAGCCTTTAGCAAGACCAGTCACTGCCTCATCACACCCTTCCATCCTGTTTATGCATAAGTAAAGGATGGTGGGGAAGAGTATGCAGCCTGAACCTCATCCGGTGCCTCTTAATATATGCAAATAGTGGGTTTTAATATGGAGTAATTCAACTTGGACTTCATGGGACAGTATTTCTAAAGTTTTGAATATAGCTAATCTTAAAAGAATAAAATTTCTCGATATGACAAGTGGCAAAACAAAAATTAGGAATATCAATATTTTTAGTAAAACATACTTATCTTTGGCTTTGAAGGATGGAAGACCTGCAAACTGTTAGAAAAACTTCAAGGATCTTGTATAGTATTTATCAGTCAATGAATATTCTATAAGTTGGTTAGAGCATGGTGCTAATAACGCCAAGTTCACAGGTTCAATCCCTGCTTACTGCAGGGGGGTTGGGCTCAATGATCTCTCAAGGTCGCTTCCAACCCAAAGCATTCTATGATTCTATGATAAGGATGCACGATGATCTATATTGCTGTTATTTCAAGCAGAGAAAAAGAAGAGGAAAAATTACTAATTATTCATGTTAACAGGGGAAGTCAGAGCTTGGCTGAAAGCAGCTCTAATACAGACTGCTAGAGTAGTGAAGATGGATTAGAAATGCACTAATTCAGGCATATTTGTTCCTGTGTTGTTATTCTAAAGATGCTGCCTCAGCCTGAAATCTCAATAATAATAATTAAAAAAATGTGATCTTTAGCAGCATGATGAGTGCCACTATACACAAAATTGCTGAAATACTTAGGGGCCAGCACAACACCAATAATAAAATAATTTTTCTGTTGTGTACAGGGATGAATTCTTATCTATCTACAAAATGTGCAGTGGTAGTCACAGGTGGTTGCAATGCATTGTCATTTATGTCTCAGATGGAAAACTTTCTTAGAGAAAATTCACCTTAGGAACAAAACCTTGCAGCAATTTTTTTCAGTGGCTGAGAGCATATTTTGTCTGGATTTCCATGCCCAGGCTCCCTTTTTGCTTAATGTTAAATTAGACTTTCATAATACATCCTTCTTTAAATACAGTCATTGGTAATCAGTGTGAAGGAGAAGGGAGGGTAAAGGGTGGGGGAAGAGTGGGGGAATCTCTGTCTTTCCCAGAAATCTAAATGTATTGTAATGTCAATTCAAAACAAATGAAAAAAAAAAAAAACCCACACTCAAGGTCTGTGTTAGGATCAGGGAAGTATTCAGTGTCATAAAGGGAGGAAGACACTTTGTTGGGTGACTTTTAAATTAAATCAGAAATTTTCCCAAGACTTAAAATTAACTATTTCTATATTTGTATATAATTTTAATAGGCTAACTGCATAAGATGTTTTTGCTCTGTTTGTGGGAAATTTCACTTAATGTTTTCATTTTGTGCTTTGTTTTGTTAAAGTTCCCTTCAGAAAAGAAGAAATGTGGATCCTGTAAATATTTCTTGCACTGGGAGGCAAATTTCACAAAATGGTGAGTTAAGCATCTTCAATATTGAGGAAAAAGAAAACTCAGACCAGAAGTTGTCTAAAATGAGTATTGACTCACTTATTTTAAGAAATATTTGGTATCTGGAACGTCTGGAAAAAGTAATATATGTAATAAAGCATTTTAACCACTTCTGCATTTTTACGTACTTTTTGTTTATGAACTAATAAAATGAAAATCAGAAAATCCAGTCTTTAAACCTCATTTATTTTAATACACTTTTTTAGACTACAGTATTTTGAGTTTCTAAGATTAAATTCAGATTTTTTTAAGCAGAGTTAGCTTTTTCTTGAAAGATATAAGGAGAGTATTCTTGACTAATGCTGCTTAATTTGTTAGGTAGTGCTTGTAGCTCTAGGAAATATCCGGAAATTAACTGTATTAAATAGTTCACTGGAAGAGTTTAGAAGTCTTGTGCAGTCAGTTGTAAACAAAAGTTCTTTCATACTCTAGAGGTATGCCTTGTTTGAAGTTATGCATATTAATTTCAAGCAAATACTTGGTCACAAAATGAAGATTGTGCACAAATGAGTTTTTGTGGGTTTGTGTGGGGTTTTTGTTTGTTTGTTTGTTTTAAGGTCAGAGTAGAGGACATTTTAGAGCTATTGCTCCTAAGAGTATGCAACAACAGGTTTTTTTTGTTTTTTTTTTTTTTAAACTTGATGAAGGGTAGGAAAGAAGAAAATGCCTGCATGCAAGTTATATCCAAATTATATAGTAATAGTAGTAGTGTCTGACTGGGTAGTGTCTGAGGAGAAAAAATGTGTCTGGAGTTCAGTTAGAAATGGGAAATTGTTTCTTGTTCTTCAAATTTTTTTTCTGAGAAGGACAGAGAAATTACAAACAGAAAAACCTGTGTCCCTTCTTGATTTTTATTAGTACTTTAGTAGAGTATTGCACTGTATGACTCTGTATTTATTTATTTTTTTGCTTTAAGAAACTTTCACAGAGGAAAAGCCACCCATCATCTCTCCATACGGGGAAACCTTTATTTGTGACAACCCTAAAGATGCTCAAGTAAGTTGAGAAGTCTGCATATAAATGGTCTATCTTCACTTTAATTTTCATGTTATGTATTTTATATTGCCCTTAATTCTTTTTTCCTCTGCTTTCAGTCTTTTTAGGTATATGCAAAAGGTTTATTCTGTAAAAAATTTGTGGACTAGTGAATTTTCTTCATCTGGAGATACACTTTGTACTGTTCAGCAGTAATAGGAAGCTGTGGTGTTGGTTGGTTGGGTTTTTTTGGTTTCGTTGTTTTAAACAATATAGGACAGATAACTGACACTTTTTTTTTTTTAAATGCCCAGTGCTGCCATATCAAATGCAAAATAGTCAGTTACAGGCAGCCTACCTTGATGCCTTCCTTTTACCTTCTTAGGTACAGTGGTATATTGTAATACTTTGTGCCTAAGTAAGCTTAAGTGGTGGATAACCATTAGAACTGACTAATAAAGGTAAAAGTGTCTTTTCTCTCTTCTGATAACTGCAGATCAAGACTGGGCATCTCCACACAGGCTTGTGTATATCGCATGAAAGCAGCTTACATGTTAGCTTGGATGATCTAATGGTCACTTTTGGCTATACCCTTTTTTAATTCCTGTATATGAAAGTTCTCGGGACTTCTGATACTTTTCATGCATCCCCTAAACTTGCTGTATACCCAGGAAGTCACTTTTGTTGTAGGATTCTCTGAAATGAACATTTGTGTTGGGGTCAGTAGTTGATGGTATGAATGCCTTAGATAGCATGTGGACAGACTTCTGAATTGTGTGGAGATCTGGGAGGTAAATTAGCTTAGTGAGGCATCTGCTAAATGCTGTGAATCCCAGCTCCTGCTTCTGTCTTAGCAGGATACAGACCAGAAATTGTTGATTCTGTGATTGCTTATACCTGTCCCAGCTGATCTCAAGCCACTGAATTAGAGAAAACAGTAAATTATTCTTAGTTTCTGTCCTGGTCTTCACTCTAAGGTTTCACTTTTTAAACTATTGTAAACTATTGACTAAAATCAAAGTTACTAAAATGGATGCCTAGGATTTTTTTCCACCCAATTTTAGCTTGTTAAGAATTGGTCAGTGGAAACAAATGGTTCAAATTTCATCTTGTAATGGGAGTGGGTTTAGAAGCTTAAAAATTACCCTTATTTTTGGTGTGTACTTTCTTTTCTTTGGAAATATGTTGTGCTTTTTTTTTTGTTGACTTTTTAAGGAGGTACACATAAATTTATGTCTTGTTTCTTCTTCTAGTTCTTGTTATCTGCACACAAAAGTGACTTCTGAGCTTGCATTTTCTTTTCTTGTGTACAATGTCTTGTCTGTGCCAGTTATTGTTGTCTGTGCCAATGTCTTTAAAAATTCGAAATTTAGCTTCTTTGTAATTAGTTCAATGCATAAACAGGTTTTCTGGAAAAAGTTTCCTAGACTTGTTACTTCTTAACATTATTCTGTATATTTCATTGAAATGGTTGGTTGTAAGAAAGCATACCCAGGAAGGCTGTCAGCAATCTTTCTTATTTTACAAAGGCACCAAATACAAAAATACCATGCTGTTAAACTGGATTAACTGCTTGAAATACAATTGCTATTTCTGCTGGTTGTAAAATCACTATTAATGCAGTATATTGTAACATGCTTTCCCTCATCTGACTATTTGGATTTTAATTATCACTTTCATGTAAGTGAATAGTTTTTTGAGTTATATTTATCACATGCCTGTTGGAAACTTCATAGTTAATTTTGGTTCCATTAGAACTTAATTGCAGACAAAGGTCATAAAGAACCACCATAAAACAAAGGTCCTAAGATACGTTGCACTTTCAGAGTTTTTTCAGTAGGTATTGAGTATCCTAGGAACAAATAAGAAAGTTTACATAACTCTGTAAAATATCTGAGATTTTAGGGCTTGTAACGGCTGCTTCATTTTAAAAAATTAACCTCACTTGAGAATAGAGTTCGTCTATATACAAGAAAATGTAGCAAATTTTTATACGGACTGACTGAAGTTTGTTCTAAGGGCTTGTAAGTTGGCCATTACCCTTCTTCCTGTTTCATTGGTGTAAGGAAGAAAAGGCTTCTATAGGCTCTTACAAAGGGAGTGTCTGTAGAAATAGGTAATGAGTCACTACAGACTGGAGGTAAGTGAGCACGAGAGAACAGGGAATTAAGGTTATAAAGAAAATATGCCTTTGACTTAGGTCAGGAAGAAAGACAACTAGAAGCAGAAACCTCTAAAGGGCAACCTGAAGAAGGAGCATTTTTTTTATATTGCTTTAAAAACAACACAAATAAAAATCCAAGTGTTTTAGAGCTGATTTATTGTTGTGTCCAACTGAAGAGTCAAGTATATTAGAATCCCTTTACAGAAAAACTGAATTCTAATGAGTTCAGGCCTCTAGAGTGAAGTATTGGCTTTATTTCTTGCTGTAGACTGTCAGACTAAATTAAACATGCATATTGAGTTCAGTAAACTATGTGAGCTCCTAAGCATTGTGACAGTGTGGAATGCTGACCAGATTGCAAATCTTACCACTTTAAAATAAGAACCCTTGATATTTTAAAAGGAGGAATTTATCTTTATGGACCTGTTATAAAATTGTATTGCCAAACCGTGATTCAAGAATCAACCTGAGGAGAGCTGTGTGATATTAGCTTTAATAGAAGACTAAGGCAGTATCTCTTACGGAAGATGCCTGTCCTGAATGGCATTGAGTCTTTGTTTAATGTAGCCTCAGTCCTGATGCTTTTCATGCCATCCATGTTTTAGCATTCAGGTTTCCTGACTTGCTGTTGTGATCAGCAAGACTACCTGTTAGAAAAAGCAAAAAACAAAAATGCATCTGAACTACTTCCTGATCAAAAGTAGAGGATTTTTATACAGGGCTGCAAGTAGGCAGTTCTATCCGTCTGGGATCCAGAATCTAGATTTCTTCCTTAAGGGTAGGTGCTTCCTATGCATAAGCATAGTACATATTTAGAAAGAGTTTCTGTCTTATATACTTTTAAGAAATGCTTCTCTCTCTAAAGGTGTCTGCAGGAGAAAATGCTGCTGCTAATTACCTTTGTATAATAGCTCAGAAGTTTGCAGGAGGTGGGATATGGGAGTTTTGTCTCATCTTAAGTCTGAGCACCTTGCAGAGTAATTCTGTAAACAACACACTGGAAATGCTTGAGATTCAATTTGAGTGAAATACGTGCCTTTGGGAGCAAATAGAACTCCCTGTCCCCACAACCTGTCTGCATTTGTGGACTTCTACATTTTAAAACCTCCTAGCAGCAGAAATGCAATTCTCGATTGTTGCTCAGAAGTTCTCAGGCTCCTTGAATTCACTTGCCCAAGTGCTGAAGATTGCGGAGTGGGCACAAGCAGGACATAAAACTCTTACCGTAATGGTTCATGAGGGGGAAGAAGAGGTACTACCACATAGCTTCAGTGGGTATGGTTTGCGGTTGCATCCTGATAAGCGAATGAAGATAAAAGATACTGACCATTTTTGCTCTGAAGATGTTTCTTGGTCGATGATGATGTTAGCCTCTTGACTATTGTGCAGAAGTGGGACACAGCCATTTCCCCTCCTGTATGGGTGTTTTGTGTGCTCTGTATTGGTTTTTTTTCTATTTTGTGGGGTTTTTTTTTTGTCTAATCCTTGGTGCTACAACATAGTTAAGTGTGGTGTGTGTGGTGGTTGTTGTTGGGTTTTGGCGTTTCTTTATAATGGATCTGGCTGGCAGAGGAAGGCAGACTGTTCACCTAGGTTTATCCTAGTAGCAGCCTGCGATTTCCATAATTCTTGCTGCAGTGTACACATACTCACCTTTTGGCTATGTGCTTTTTTAAGCTTGCCTTTTCATGTTTCCAAGGTACAGTCCTCAAGTACAAGATGAGGTACTGCTGCTCAGAAAACAAATGGCAACTGTTGTGTGTTCTGCCACCCTTCAGCTTTGTGGCATACACATCAAAGCTTAAAGGAGTAAATTAAAATGCTTCTATCAGAAAGCATGAGGATATTAATTTTAGTTTGTTTTTTTTTTTTCTTAAAGGAAGAAAGATGAGTATTGAGAAGCTTAGTAATGCAATATGATTGTCAGATCAAGTTTAGGAAGTGTGAAATGTAATGTTCTTGAACAGCGTTAACCTTGACATTTTGTACACTGCAAGCAGTTTGTGATAAAGATTTCTAAACAAACATTAATAAATATGCCCTTAAGGAAGAAGAGCTTGGCAAGAAGATGCGAGATATAGTTGATATAGCTGAGTTCAGTCTTACTGTAGGAATTTGAATTTACCATTATTTTATTTTTAGTGTACTGTGAAGGCTGTGCATTTAGTTCAAAGAAGAAGTATTGATATGAAACAGGCTAGCAGTGGTAATTCATAAGTGGTATACTTAACATGCATGTAACACATGGCTCTTGAGCTTAGAAAAGTTCAGGGTAAAAATAATACTCAGTTGTGCTTCAATAAAAATCAGAGCACTGATACTTCTATGCACTAAATTTCTTTAATTTGTATCGGGTATTTTGGACTATGCTCGTGTTTTATCTGAGTATTATTTAAAATTGAAATATTGGAAATAACATTTCTTAAAAATACTTTTAAAAACATGGTCTTTCAAATGCATATTACTTGAAAATGTGGCAAAGAATAGCTTTGCTAGCTAAGCTGTTGTTTGTGTGTGATTTATGTCTACAGTAATTTAAACATCACTTACTACTTCAGTACAAATGTTGATTACGATATATTTCTTTTCTAGGAACTTCATGGAAATGAATTCCTGGCTTATCAAAATAAATCAGATCTGGGAATGAATGAAGAGTATTCTTTTTACAAGAATCTATGGTATTAAATAAAAGTTACAGAGAAATTCAAAATGTAAAGAGGAAAGAGTTATTTACGGATATCACAAGTAGATCTTTATCACTGAAGGCACAACTATGACTGTATTTATTTTTTTTTTTTCCCCTCCTATTTGAATCTTTACCCCATGCTATCGGAGGCAAAGTTTGGCTCTGTGGCTGTCCTAAGACTGTCCTACCCAGGTTTCAGAATTTTTGTGGGTTTGGAAGATGTCTCTATTTTCCTCAGTCAGAACAAGGAAGATACAAGTTTTATTTCTGTATGTCTCCTAGCTAACCATGTCTGAGTACTCTTATACTCTACTTCCTCATTATGGGGGGGACCTAAACACAAAACTAAAAAACGTTCTCTACTCCTGTCACGAGGCAATGGCCAGTGGTTTGATGAAATGGGAGCTAATGTCCTCCTTAAGTCTCCAGTCCATACCTGACTTCTGTTGAGGTGGGAGAGGGAAGAGAGACGTGATACTGCAAGTCCTCCAAAGTATTAAAATGAACAAAGCTACTTTTCTGAGGAAGGAGAATTAATTTTAAAATTCTGTTCAGGCTTCTAAACGAACCAGCAAGTGTTTCCTTGTTACCAGGCCTGTTGAATGGAGAGAGTAGGAGTCAGTATGGTCATGGTTATATAAGATACATTGTGTTTCGCATGTCTTTGGTTATCGCAGTGGTTAAACAAGTTATAAACATACTTATAATATGTCTTACCAATATTTGTTCTAATTAATAATTTTGTGTATTTGTACATTGTAGCAATACATTAAGAGTAAAATGCAATTTTTCTTTCTAGTTCCTTTAATAATCAGGATGAGAAGAAAAAGGAATTTGCAAAAAATGAATCCCTGTCTCAGGAAAACAAATCATTAGCACTAGAAGAATCTGAAAGTGAATCTGTATATTCTGTTGTGGAACAATGTTCTTTGCCTTTATGGAAAAAGAAAAATAAAGACAAGACACACTCGGCATCTTGTAGTAAGATGCAAAGTGGAGATGCAGATCACTTGGTCAGTGAACAAATGCATTTTTGGCAAGCTGATGGAGATCAAACTTCTATTGGAAATGATTCAATAACACCATATGCTTGTTTTTATGGACCATCAGTAAAGAAGGTTAAAGCAGGATGGCTGGATAAATTATCCCCTCAAGGGTATGGTATTTTCAGTGATTACTGTATAATTGTGAAGATGTGTGTTTGCATGAGAGATGTTAAGTTGGTTACTATTTGTAGTGAGAAAGGAAAGGGAACTGTTTCTGTTGCAAGAACATAGGTCTCTTCTGAATTCTTAGTTTTTAATGAGGTTACCTATTCCAGAGTTTATTTAGGAGGTGCACTCAGGAAAAATATTTTTATTAAAAATGTTGATCACCACTCACGAACTGTAGCAGAAGAATACAGAATTGATTTGTAGCAATATTTCCAATATGTACGTTTTTGCTGATTTTGTGTGGGCCACAAAGTGAGTGAAAACAAACTCTGACTCTGAAATACTACTTTACCAATATGGCCACGGTTGTATAAATTAATAATTACCATGACTAAAGATTCCGTTGGTTTCAGAATTGTGTGTATAAGTTGAGCTTTGAGATTAGAAACACATCTAGGGTGAATTGTCTCCTAGTTTAGTCTATTGTTGTGCCTAAAATTTGATGGGAATAATTTGAGCCCAAGTCTTGCTGTCAGATTTCAAATATTGAAGAGGAGAGAGGAACACAATAGAAAGAGAATAGACCCTTCACCACATTTGTAGGTTAAAAAAAGAAAAAAAATCTTATGTTTAATTTCTGTTATATTTTTAAAATTTTTAAAATTGTTTTATTTTACCCTACTTTAAATTCCAGCTCTTAGATTGTTTTACACTAGAGCACTCTATTATCAGATCTTCCCTTCATAAGTACTTGCAAACTCTGATGAAATTCTTCTAACCTCCTCCTTAATAAACTGAATAGACTATTCTTCATTTTAAATTGTAGTTTCCAGTTCTCCAGTTGTTTTCTTCTGAATTCCTTTTTGTATTGAAAGTGGCATTATTTTATTTTTCAGTGTATTTCTGATCTTCACTAGTACTTAGCATCTAGAAATTAAAGCTGTTGTCCTTGTTAGTGCTGCAGTACATCTATTTTACTGTACTTCTACTCAAGCCTTAGTAGTTCTGCATTCATTGTTCTTAGGACTGTATTTTTAACTACACTGAAAGGTGTTACTAAACTATTTGGCTTTTCCTTTTATTATTTGTGGCCTACTCATCGACTAGTACAGCAATTAAAACTTTTTTCAGTTTAGTGACAAAGTTGTTGAATTGGTTGAGAATACAGTGTGGTTTGAGCCCACTGGAAGGAGTTCTGTTGTATAGCAATTTCCATTTTTTTGTTGTTCCTTTTTAAGAGTTCTGATTTAGCAAGTTTTTAATTCCTTTGATTTTGGCTTTATTTGTGTTGATACAGTGATATATTTTTCAAGCTGAATAACAAGAAGGAATAAACCTTTTACCATTATGGAACTTCAATGTGCTCAAACTTTTTTTAAAAATTTTTTCAATAGTTTCATTCACATTTATGGATTGTTATTGTTTACTTTTGTTAAAGAATCAAGGAATAATTATACATAGAGCCAAAAGACTTTTTCCCAGTATAATATGCATTTGCACGTCTCAGAATTGTTAGTGTATTGATTCCTCAGAGAGCTGTAGTTAGCTTTAACTTTTGTTTTATTTCACTTATGGGACTCTTTTTTCCTCTTTTTTTTTTTTTTTTTTTTTAAACCAAAACTTTCAGCAGTTAGTTAATAGAGTGATAGAAAGTATAGTTCTTGATTCCAGTTGACTCATCTTGTGCTATTTGAAGGAATAGCGTTGTGAACAAAGTGTGAGGGCTTTAGATAAGGTACTGTGTGAGAATATATTGTTTGAAAAATATAATGAATTAAGCACAAAATTAGTCCTGGTTAGGACTGAGTAGAACAGTTGCAGGGTCGTTTGCTCTGAGTCAGTGATATTCCTTGGCTGAATTTCAAGGACTTTTTCTTAAGCATGGTTTAGTGAATGCTACATTTTTTGGTTGTCTTTCTTATAATACCATTTTTCAAATATCAGAAAACTTAAAGAAACTAACCAAAGGAGAAAAAAAAAAACACCAAAACAACAATGATTTTTTTCATCCCTTAAAGCACTGTCATATTTTATTTCAGTCCCCACAAACTGAATGTTTCTTTCTGTTCCTCCCTCCCTTTTTCTCCCTCCCTTTTTCTCCCTCCCTTTTTCTCCCTCCGCTCCCATTTACACCTGGCACTTTGTGTCTCCTCAGGTTAATCAATATAAACTGTTTTCTTAAATGGCAACAAATTGTGCATTTAAAGTACAGGTTCTCTTTTTAGTTAACTCACTATAAATTGTAAAGCCATTCAGTTTACTCACATTGTATGTGGTACTTAAGTTTACTTTTTCTTCCCTGCATCATCTTAAAGTTTATTGACATTTTAATGGAAAATAGATTTTACATTGGCCTTTCCAGGTTATGAAAAATAATGATTTATTGTAGTCATATAATAAAAGTTAATTAAGCCAGAGCCTCTATTTGATTAAAGTGTTGATAAACTATCACAGTCTACTAATCCTAAAGCAGAGCTCTAATTTAGCAAGAAAGGAAATAACATTGGGAAAAGAGATGTTAGAGTGGGGTCTTGTTCTTGCTTAATTAACTCATTTAATAGATTTTAGAATTGAAACTTCTGTAGATGATAACTAATAGGCTGCCAACATTTTTAATGAGCATAACGGACTACTTCAGGTGCATGTAAAAATAACTTTTTAGGAGGTTCTTATAGAGCATGAGTTAACAGCAAACTTAAATAATCAAATGAGCTTCTCATTAATGTTGTCCAGCTGATAATACTAATTGAAAATGAAATTTCATGTTGTACTTGTTGAGTGATTTGGTGTGACAACTGTTTATTCATTGGCCAGGGAAGAGCATGTTCAGGAGATGATGATGACTGAAGATACTGTAATGACTGTTGATAACTGAAGATTTCTGTAAACAGAGATGTCCTCATAAACATGGCAACGAGATGGTCATTTTAGGTTCTCGGCTTTCCCTTTTTGGAAAATATCTTAAAGAGCTTCTAACACTTAAAGGTGTGCTCTTTGTTCAGAATATTCCTTCGCCTCTGATAGAAGTAACCAGTTCTCATCCGTGTTAGTTTCAAGCAAAATTACATCACTGAAAGTTCTTTTCCCTCTGTCATTTCAGATGGGATATAGAGCACATGGGCAGGAAATAGAGAGAAAGGAGACTGAACTGATTAAAACCATGAAGACACTGATTTATAAAAGAAGTCCAGTAATACTGCTCTTCTTGTTTGCAGATATTTTTATTAGATTTGAAATCAGCATTCCCTTTTGAAAAGATATGATAGGGCTAAGATTTATTTTAATTTTCAAAATATTTAGGCCCAAACACAGGAAGATAAACATGATTTGACTTTTCTATAATTTGTGCTTGAGACATTCTTAAAAGCCAGCGTTACTTGTGTTTGTAAATTTTAAGTGTATTCATTTTTGATTCACAGCAAACGTATGTTTCAGAAGCGCTGGGTTAAGTTCAATGGAGACAGCATTTCTTATTACAATAATGAAAAGGTAAGTGACATGTTTTGGCCATGTATGGGACAAAATGCATCTGTGTAATACACACGTTACCATGAAGATATTGAGCACTAATTGCACATGAATATTCATCTTAAATTTATTTTCAATTGCAAAGAACTAGGATGAGACATAATTAAACATTTTTAAGGTGTCCTTGAGATCTTCATGTATTGTTCATCCTCTTGTTTTCTAGAAGGGCTTGTAGTCCTGACCTTTTCAGGTAGATATCATCAGAAATCCTTACTTTACTGAAGGGGTGATACCACTGCATTCTGCAAAACAGATCGGAATGGTGCAAAACACATTTAAGAGATCCAGTGTTATTTTGGTGGTGGTATGTCTTGTCATGGGAACCCAGCATGCTGGAGATTTTGAGAGAGAAAATAAATGTGGCAAGGAAGACCTTTTTAAAACCAAACCCATCATACACTTGCTTACTCTTTAATTAAAAATGTCTCTTCCTGTTTGTCTTCTAGAAATAATCACGTATCATTAGAGTAGGTTATGTTTGAATGGGTCTTTTTAAAATGAACATCATACTGTGATGTGAGTGGCTGTTCTTTGTTTCTGTACCTAAGGACTGGCTCTTACTGAAACATTTGCAGATTCATGAGTTGCTTTGATTAATGTCGATCACTTCTGATATGTAATACAAAAGTGGATTTGTAAATCATGGTTTTCAACAAAATGTCTATTCCCTCTCTGAAATTGAGATTTACAAAAGACTTCTTTGACCATTTGATACTACTTTTTCACAATAGAAACTACATTGTTGGTTTTTTTGTTTTGAGACCTGTCTTTAAACATTACTTTCTTTTTTTAAAGATTTTTTTATTATTATTATTTTTTTCTTCTATTTGATACACTTTAGCCCACTACAAAATTCTTTCTCTTTTGCTCTATGATTAATTTCTCTTCTTGGAAGAAATGAACAATTTCTTAAAAGTGATAGATGATTGTATAATACACATGTTTGGTGGAGATGAGGTTATTTGCTTGTGTGTTATTTGAAATGCTGGAAAGCATTTCCTGTGTAAGATGCATATTAAATTAGGAACAAAATACAGTTTCAGATAAAAGTTCCCAAGCAGTATGATGGGTGGTGGTAATCAATAAGAGTCCTGTAGATGCTTTATAATATGCACACTCTTAGACCTATTTTATAGCAGATTATGAAGGGAATAGAACTGAAGCAGGAAAAGACTGTATTTCCTGAGGGGCTGGAGAAATTAAGAACAAGGTCAAAAAATTATTTACATTGATCTTTATGCCTACTTATTAGGAGCATGAAACAAACTGTTTTTACTTGCTTACTTTGCTTCACTCACAGTAGAAGACATGATTGTGTAGATGAAGGGAACAATAGAATAACATTTGAATTGTAGTGACGAAAAATGTTACCCCTTTCTGATATTCATCCCAGGGCTTCAGAGGAGCAGAAAAGCAGGGTTAGTCATTAAGAAAGACTTGAAACATACAGTGTTGGGATTTGCTTAACACTGTCTGTAGCATAATTAGGGCAAGAAATGCTAATACAGAATTTTAACTCTTGTATCTGCACTGGGGATTTTTAATTCTTTTTTAATTTTTTTTTTTTATTTTTTTGGAAGGTCACTGAAAAAGTTACTTGGAGGTCAATTACTCTAGAATAATACTTGTTATACATCCACCTGTCACAGGAGATTCCAGAAATCTTCCCTTCTGGTCAGAGAAATATTTAGTGTGTCACACAATACATAGAAAGCTACCAACTATGCATTCTCTATTTAAAAGGTCTCTGTGATAGGTTAGACTATCAGGAGCTTGCAAAAGGCTTGGTCTGAAGCCTCTCTGTCTCCCTTTTCCTGGAATCAGAGTACAAAACCTCAGTCCTGGGATTGAATGAGATGCTGGTCGGTCTGTGTGTGTATACAATCTGACCAAATCTGGGTGTCTGACTTGTTAACTTGATGAGTCACATATGCTAAGAACTTTGTATGTCTGAGAACTGCGAGGCCTGAAGCAAATTCTGGGAACCGAGCATTTGATGAAACTCTCAGACTAGCTTGCAGATAGGAGGAAAGCATAGTTGTCTACCAGTAGTTCTCAGTGCACAGTGGGATTGTGTTGGGTGAGCAGTGGTGTCACTGGGGAACATGAGTTTTTGGTGTGCTGGTCTTTGCTTGATCACTACTCCCACACCCAGAATATTCATACTGCCTGCTAGATGGATACCAGCATGTTCCTGCTGTTGGCTTATGTGTTGTTACCTTGACATCATAAGCAACTATTTGCAGACTGCATGCAGCTGAGGAGCCGGTTCTGGTAAAAGACAGAGATAGTTATACAGTTCATTGCAAGGCAGTGGGTGTGTCCTCCTAGCTACATGTCTCTCTATATATATATTTAAATGGGGAAGTTGGTTTTTTAGATCTTAACGGCAAGATCCGTCTATTCTAATGTGTGTTTGTTCGAGGATGTTCCTACACAGACAAGCATGTTATAAAGGAATTGTTGTACTTTTGATTTCACATATCAATTAAAAGTAGTTCTCAAAAGGAAACCAATCCATACCTGGATATTTTTCTGATTATTACAAGCAGAGACGTGTAGGATCAATGGAATGAAACTGTTTACTTTAGCCAGAAACCCTACCAATATTAAAAAGCTCTATTTGTCATTCAAATTAGGAACTTGAGAGGAGTGAGGTTCTCAAGAAGGGGAAGTGTGCTACATGGCTAATTAAGAGTGAAACAGGTGGAGGATGGGGAGGGAAGACACCGAGGGTAGTATTCCTGAAAATGTGTACTTAGCCCATCTAAACGCTTCTCTGAATGATTTAAACCTTAATTTTCTAAATATTTCTCAAACCTTGTTCTAGTTGTGCATCATCTTCTAATCGATAGCGATCTCTTCTTTCCTTTATATCTGTATATATGAAAAAAATATTTAGTTTTCTACAAACCGCATCTGACCTAGGAAGAGGTTTTATTTGAATCTGTGATGCTGCTCACTTCTTCTGCGTTCTGGTCCTGAGCAAGTTGCTGTGGTCAGAGCAACATCCTGTGTGGTGTTGTCTTAACAGAATGTGGTTAACTGAAGTGAGAGGAAACTGAAGAGAGGAAGGTAGAATTTGAGCACTCTTTTCAGCTATCCCGTATGCATAGTTTTTGTTTCAAATGTCTTCCTACTTTTGGCAGGAGAACTCTGGTGCTCTAACATGTGCTTTATAGTAAGGCAAAACCTGCTGGTTCTATTGAAAGTCTTTATTTAAAAATGTCTTAGGGTCCCTGACAAATATATTAGTGATTTAGGAAAAAGTCTTGCCTTTTTTTATGTGGAGAGCTTCAATATTTTGTTGTCTTATGTGGCATGTGAGCATAACAAAGAACAAAATTCACTGCAGAACAGGTGAATCATTGTCATTCTTGAAATAGGTCATATTTAATCTGTTGTGGAAGGAAAGACAAAGCAGTTCAAAATGGTGTTTTCCAGGACCTTTTAGCCCAGCTCTGAAATACAACTGTCAAGGAGCAGTCCGTTGGGCTGTATTTGAAAATACACGTTTTCATCAAAGCATCTGATATAAAAAAAATTTTTTTCTTTCCCCACTACAAAATTGTTCTGTCAGAATTTTTAAGCAGCCCTAAGATTAGTGTACACCTCTCAGTAACAGAAGAAATATCTGTGAGGTTCTTGGCTGTGTTTATTTGTTTTTCTTTTCTATATTCTTAAATAATTTGCCTAATTTGTAGTCTGGAGAACTTCAAAGAGAGAAATTGTATCTTAATCAACAAGAGCTTTTTAACAGGCATTATTTCTTGCACGTGAATGAGAAGCTGCTGCAAAAATAAGATTGAGAAATTCTTATGGTTTAAACTGTATTTGAAAATACGTATGCCTTGGAGAACAAAGCTTTAAAAATGATTGTTTACTAAACCCACAACTATGCTCAGCTTAAAAGGAAACTGACTTTTTTTTTTTTAAGCAAATGAAATAAAATAGCTGTGACTTCCAGCATGCTGGATTATTCTCTTACAGTACCAAATACAGCCAGCAGATGCCTGCAAACACCATAATATAATTATATCTGAACACCTTTAGAAAGAGTAACTGTAATAAGTTTGCTTTGCCATTGTGAAGGATCAGTAGTTAACATAATATCCAAACTTATTAACAAATATGTTAAAACCTATTCTAACAAATATAGCTGTAATGGAAATAGATGTGCAATACTAAGAATATGCTGAGTGACAGAGTAGCTGTTGTGTGCAATTACAGTAACATGTTCACTTCAGCTGTATTTCAATTTTCTATTTATTTGCTAAACTGCATTCACTGATGTATTGATGAAGTGAAACAACATAAGAGTGTGAATTTGGTGAAAATCAGTAGTATATTAAACTCAGTAAACAAAAAAAATGATCCTGTGTATCCTTCATGCTTAGCATTCACAGTGGTTCCTCAAGTCCTTGTATAAAGTCTATTATAATAATTTATACTTTGGGAGGAAAGTTGTTGCAGTACAAATTGTTTATGGGGAGCTGACTCTCGGACTATTACTGCATCTGGATCATAAATCTTAGCAGTATAGCTGAATTGTCTTAGTTGGAAAACCAATTGATCAAAGCATAGTGGGGACAGGAACAGCAGTGTTAACTCTGGAATCTAGGAATTGTGCAGTATTTCTGAAGTGTTGCACATCTGCTTGAGCTTCCCCCTCCTGCTCCCACATGGAATACTTAGGTTAATTAGGTTAAAAGATGAACCACTTAGGAAAAAGGAATTGCTACAAGTACTTTCTCCATCTTGCTTTTATGTTCAGTTCAGTTGTCCCAATTCCTAGTTGGAAATTAGCAAATTTTGAGGAAGTCTGCTGTGATGCCAAACGATGTTTTTGAGAGATCATTCTCCTCTTACCTCATATAGCAGAAAAGTATACACCTGATCTAAGCTAGAGGATTCTTGTTAGTAATGACAGGGTAGTGGATTTTTCCAGAGAGTGATGACCCCCTTTCAGTGAAAAAATTAGGGATAAAATCAATGAATTTACTTTTCTTATTGGCTAGCCACTGAAGGAGTGGGGAAGGAACAGAAGAATTCTTTGGAATTTTCTGCTTGGAGAAGGCACAATTTTTTTCCTTGTCTGATTCTGTTCTACAAGTATAATAATTACTTTTTTTTTTTTTTTAAATTATGGTTCTGTGAGATAGTCAATGTAATTTACTTTGGCAAAAAATTGTAAATTTACGAGAGTGTGATACTTTGCAATATTAGTGTCATGAGACAATTTATGAACTGGTATCTCAAATATATGCATTCTATCTCACCATGGGATTTTACTCTATTTTAGAAGGCAGTAGGTGTGCATAGATGCAGAACAGTGAAGTTGGTGATGTGTGGGTAGAAAAGTGGTTACTTATTGATGCAGTTTTATTAATAGTGTGGCAAACTTTTAGGAGCACGGCCTGTGTATGTGAACTTCCTAAACACCATGGCAAGTAATGCTACCTGAGAGACATTCAACATTCCATGAGAGCTGTTAACTATTTCTATTGCATTTTTATTATAGGAAGTGTTCTCAAAGGGAATAATACTGCTCTCTGCTATAGCAACAGTAAGAGTTCACGGGGAGAATAAATTTGAAGTTGTCACATCCCATAGGACTTTTGTCTTCCGTGTGGATAAAGAAGGTAAGTAGAACATGTATAATTCTAATGATTGCCAAAAAGCCATGTAATCGCTGATGATAAATTATGTTTGTGAAATATAACTCATTTATTACCAGAAATATTTCTGGATTCCAGCTGTTTTGGGCTCATAAAATGAAACTGGAGATAGCTGCGAGCTTTCTAAGAACAACTGAAATTGCTGGAGAATGGCTTTTAAAAATATCAAAATGAGATTACTATTTTCCAACTCTTCTGCCTCCTCCCCATCCTTCCCAAAGATGAATTTTTCTGGATGTTCCTCAGGTCTCACTAGCAGCTTTTACAGCCTGTATGCTCTCAGCCATCTGCTCCGAGTCATCACTTGACATAAAATTGACAAAGAGCAACAATGGAGTTGATGGCTTGAATGCGGTGCCGTGATCAAAGGAAATCTGGGGTTTTCTGTGTGTCTTTATTTACTGCCTTATACAGTATGTTCAGCCATGTATTGGGAGAGAATACAAATGTAAATTGTAGTAGGGAACTTAGTATGCCTTCTAATTTAATGCTTTATCAACCTACAGCTGTAATATGTGGAATCAATATCAATGCATGTATGACTTATTTATGGAAACAATCAAATAAAATGGAATACCTAGGAAAAAAAGATATGCAATATGTATTTACAGCAGTACATGCCAGACCCATTATAGCTAAGGGTCTCTCAGCATTTCCATTATCAAATCCCATTTTTATGGGTTATAGCTTGGCTGTAAACATTTGCTGCAGGCTGTAACAGGAGTGCAGCATCAGTGAACAAATCCTTCTTATCAGGTTTTGCTCAAATCACTTCAGGCATTTTTATGCTCTTAGTGAGTTAAAAAGTATGTCTATTTTTATTATTTTTGCTTTTCTCTTCCAAATTTATTTTTTTACTTTTTTATAAATTGGAACATAACCATGTTAGTACAATAGATTTTGTAGGGCTGTAATTTGCTTTATGGACTGTTGCTTTTGAATACTATAAAAACATTAACAACTTATACTGACTTCTAAAATATATTCAGAGCAACTACTTGTTATATGTGAAATTGCATTTTCAGTTAGTATATAACCATCTTTGGACATAGTGGCCTGTCTGTAAAGCTGTTCACTTAAGGTAAGAAATATTTGTGGTACAAGTAATTTGGTCCTTGCTGTATCCAGAGCTGGATGATGTATTCATAGTAAATTACGTAAATAACCCTGCTTGCTTTTGGTTAGGTGCACAAACTGTTACTTGCTGCTGTTCCTTCTGTAGATTTGTGGTTGGGAATTGTTCTGCGACTATTTGAAGGGTACTTAACTTCTTTTCAGAGATTTTGAAATGGAGACTGTTATGCATATTTCATCCTGTGGACCTCATTTATTAACTTCCTTTCTTTCTGCTGGACTATTAAAATAAAGAATGCTATCATTGTTTTCATTGATCTGTGTCCCTTGATACCAATGTTGGTCTGCAATCAGTGGATTATAGTACTCGTTTTGTTTCCTTTCAGTGCTCTGATTTCCTATTTTTTGCTATATCAAAAATACACTATTTTTGGATTGATTTAAATATCTAGAGTGAGAAACTCTCCTTTGGAAAATTTAGGGGCATTTGGGGACAAAAAATTAAGTAGTTAGGTGATAGCAATGAATTAGAGCATCATCTGCTCAGATGGAGTGAGATTTTGTAATTTGATGCCCTCAACTATACTGAAATGTTCTAGTGATCATTTCAAAGTACTTTAAAAGAGCATGTATTAAAACAAAATTTCTAAAATGAGCACTTGGATCACCTTCCCTGTGCTAGTCTGTTGGGCTGCTGTCTTCCTCTTCTTCAAACTATTTTCTGGAGCTTAAATTTGTGTATTTGTTCCTTCTTGTTGCACACATGACACTTGTGAAGTAAGCACATTACTGTTTTAACCGTGCTCCTTGCAGTCTTAGACACTGATTACGTCAACTTTATATCTACAGTGGATAGAACTTTCCTTCCCTCCCTGCCCCCTCCAATATATTTTACAGCCTGAATCTTTCAGAGCAGAGTTGAAATATTCATGAAGTTCCAGTCGCATGGGGCAAGTCTAATTCATTCAGAGTATTCCGCATTAAACTATATTGATCTGTCTGGTGAAATATCTGAACATAGTGAATGAGACTGAGTGGAACTTTATTACTTCACCTACTTGTGTTCATGTATTTGTAAGATGTTAAATTAATAATGCATGCAAAGATATTCAAACATGCATTTTCTTGATTACTTAGTACCCTTGACAATATCAAGCTTAACCACTACACCTTAATGGAATAGATTGTAATTTGCCAAATGTTTATGCTTAAAAGCATGGCCGAACATAGAATAGCATTGGGGATGGCTTGCCTCTATAGTGGCAGATGATATTTAGGCTCCCTTGGTTTTGCTTACATAACTTCTGTAGTTCTTTCCCATTGATCTGGCTTCCAGAAGGTAGAATCATAGGTAAACATGCCACCTGTCTACCACCTCAGTCTTTAAGCTGTCTTAAATTCAGCATCTTAGAACTAGTAGTCATTATTTTAAGAATCTTGGTCATCAGTTTGTATAACTTTTCAATTTGTATTTTGATTGTTGGGAGCTAATTGAATGGCTATCTTTGCTAACACCTCCACTGATACAGACTCTCATGGTATTTTTATTTCCACCTCCTCTTGAAGGTAGATGTTCTTTCTGATGTGGTATAGCTATACCATCAACTAGTATAGTAGGAAGAAGAGGAAAACAAATGTGGTAGAGAAGAATGGAGCTGCTCCTTAACCATATGTCTTTGTCTAATTTTTTTTCTTGTTTAGAAGAAAGGAATGACTGGGTTAATACGATGCTCAATGCCTTGAAATCGCAGTCTGATAATAACTCTCAGTCTCGAACTTCTGTTGCCCCTGAGAAAAGCGGATATCTTGAGCTGAAAGGATACAAAGCCAAAATTTTTATTCTACTTCAGGGGAATACTGTGTGGATCTGCAAAAATGAGCAGGTAAATTTTTCATATGCTTTTTGTGAATGAATGCTTATAAAGATGATTTAACTAGTGAGTTGGAAATTGATGGCTCTTTGTGAATAGGTACATTTCAATATAAATGCATATTTCTTTTTACATAGTACTTTATTGCTGCAATTCTCAGAAGGCTTCAAAAAGCAGGAGAAGTATCATTATGTCTATTGTACAATAGAAAAAAGCAAATATATAGTGAGGTGAAGTGAAAAGCCCTGAGTGTCACAACAGGTTAGTGGCAGGGCTGAGATTAATTCACTCTTAAAATGTGTGCCATAAGCACTCTACTAATTCAGAAGGCTTATTTTGTGCACTGGTTTCACTGTCCTGTAACATAGTGCTCTGGAAAGTGTGCTGTACAGAAGTAGATTGTGGTATTTAAGTGATACTTGAGCTAAATGTTCAAAACTGATGTTCTTTGTGTTTTTAAGAACCTAGATTGACCACTTTCTTTTGTGCACTATAATGCATTAAACAAATCCAGTATTAAAACCCATGAACTAGGTCTATTATTTCAGCTCCCCAAATCTAGGACTGTTTGTTTTGTTTGGCATGAATATATTATGATGTAAAGTAGTTAGCTGTGGAACTCTTAAGGATGCTGTGGATAGGAAATAAATAAGGATAATTGGTTTTAATGACTGACTGTGTGAACTAGTGGAAGAAAAATCTATTGCAGGACATTAAATGGAAGTTATCATTTCTGTGTGAGGAAATTGATGACCTGGGAGTAGCTGGAACCTGGGAGGGCATTTGGGGGAGGTGTTGTTACGTGTTTGGCTTGTTCTCATGTACTCCTGAATTTGTGTACAGAAAAACTCCTGTTTCAAATGTGAATGATCTCTCAGATCAACTCCAAAATGACAAGTACTTACTAGCTTCCTCTCCTGTTGTCCTCGTAAGTGTGAAGTTATTTAGATGGGCTTGGGGAACCACGTAATGTTCAATATTAGATCTTATTATTCTTTCCCAGGGACTGGCAGGGAATTTAAGACTGAGAAATACCTTTTTTTTTTTTTTTTTGTTTTTCTTTCTACTTAATGTGCTCCAAGGAAATTTTACTTATCAGGTACATTCTTTGAGGTCAGTCAACAGTCAACTGATCAAAAACTTGATGCAATTTATGGATTTAAGCCTGCACCATGTGTTTTGCAGAATGAGCACCTTGGAGAAGAACTGGTCTTCATAGTTGAGCACAGTACTCCTTAGCTATACTGGAATCCTCAGTCTTGAGTATTGTAATAAATAGGTGACCTGCCAGTTAGTTTATTTATTTCGGTAAAGTCTACAGCTAGGGGTCTTTAAGGAGGAACAAAACCAAAGTGCAAATGCCACCTCCCCACCCTGAAATGCTGTACTTCACTGAGGTTCTCTTATATCATTTCAGTAGAAAGAATGAAGTTGACCAAATTACTTTACAGTCTGCTTGTGGAATGATCCACACTGTGCTGCAGTGCTCGATGTTACTGTTCCATCATGGTGTTTCCAGGTATTTCATCAGTGAGAATCCCTGGAATGCATTCTCATCAATGAGTGTCCTCTCCTTGTCGATGTTCATTGTAATGAACCAATTTTGCCTTCAGAATCAATACTGTATCCATCTTATGCCCCTGAATACTTTTAAGTACTCCCTTATGGATGTTCTGAGCTTCTTGATTAAGGGACAAACGTGGTACTTCACTGAGGTATACAGACTTGTGGAGGAATTTCTTTTCCAGAGTGACAGGTCATTTGAAACTAGCTATGTCCCTCTTGAGAGTCTCAGTACCAGGCACACAATTTTTGCTTTCTTCCTTCCTTCTTACTCTGTCTGCATATAACCGTTGGGAACATCTTTCTTGCCTCAAGTAGTCCCTTGATATTTCTCTGTTGATGTGGGGCACTCTCAGTTCTGCCCACTATGCTGAGTCAGTTTTTCTGACACTGTTATCTTAGAAAAGTGTTCCAGAGCCATTCACTGTTGAAGCGTTCTTGGTTGCTCTGTTACATGTTTTCAGGGTGTGGATTATGACTATCTAAGATAATCTGTCATCCTGTCCCCCTTCCCCGCCCCCCCCC